GGAGAACCAGGTCTGCTTCCCCACTCCTCCACTTGCAGCCGCTGGCATGACCTTGGGTCAGTCACAACTTTTCTCAGAGCTGTCCTCTCAAGAGTAGTTCTCGAAAGAGCTCACTCAGCCCCACCTACTTCTTTCAGAGCTGTTCTTGAAAGAGCAGTTCTCGAGAGAGCTCTCTCAGCCCCACCTACCTCACAGGGTGGTGTCTGTGTGGGAAGAGGAAGGGAAGGAGATTGTAAGCCGCTCTGAGAGTCCTTCGGGTAGTGAAGGGTGGGACATAAATCCAGTCTCCTCTTCCTCCTCTTCCTCCTCCTCCTCCCAAATTCAATCCCTGGCATCGCTAGTTAAAAAGGGCAGGTGGTAGGTGATACCATTTCTTTTTATCTATATGCTGCTTTTCTCTCTGGTTGGGACCCAAAGTAGCTTTTCTCATCATTCCCCCTCCTCTGTTTTATCATCACAACAACAACCTTGTGAGATGAGTTAACCTGAGGTCACCCAGCAAGCTTCCATGGCAGAGCATGGATTCACTCTGACTGCTGCGCCACTCCGTATATGATAAGAAAGACCTCTCCTTGAGACCCGGGAGAGCCGTTGCCCATCTGATTATACTGCCCATGATATACCAGTGGTCTGTTTCAGTATATTCCCCAGAGTGTGTCCCCCAGAGAGCACTGAGGTCGGGGTCTCAAAACCGCTTGACCCTCCCTGCACCGAAAGATGCCAGACTGGCTTCTACCAGGGCCTTCTCAGTAGCGGCTCCATATTGGTGGAGCCAGTGGCGGCTCCCGGAAGACACTAGGGTCCTGCGGGACCTATTACAGTTCCGCAAGGCCTGTAAAACGGAGTTCTTCCACCAGGCCTTCGTTTAGGGAGCCGCTACCAACTGAACTGGGGAAAGGCCCTCTACGTTAACAGCAGCAGCCTGTGATGCCAACAGCTATAGCCTTTGGCCATATTTTGTTGTTACCATTAATATCATGGCCTATAGGGATTAGGAGGCAATGCTACCACCACCAGCACGTTATTTGCACTTGTCATGCGTTACTTGTTAGATTATGTATATAGTTTTATGATTCTGCATTATGCTAATGCGTTGGGTGTTTTAATGCATTTTAAATTTTTACTGTAAGTTGCCCTGAGCCTGCTTCCGCAGGAAGGGCGAGATACAAATCGATTTAAATCAATCAATCAATCAATCAATAAGGCCGCTTCATGTGTTCAGGAAGAGCTCTTTAGGAATTGAAGTGATTTCATTGGCCACGTATGAGCCCAGAATAAACCTAACTATTCAGGTTTTAAAGCCCATGGTGATTTTATCAAGGTTCTGTGTTTGACTTCCGGGTGACGAGCACGCGGGGGTGGGGTTTCCCCCTGGCCCGATTTTTGTCTCGTCAAAAATCGGGCTGTCAAAGCGGGGGATTCCCCGCCCCCCGGCCCGATTTGGGAACCCTATTCTAACCACCCAGTTCGCTGCACCATTACAGTTCAACTTGAAGGGAACTTTACATAGGAAACCTTTTTTTCTAAAATTACTCAAATAATGAATTCTGGAGAACTTGAAAGCTTGCAGAGTGTTTTGTGTCATCATAAGTTCCCCTTGCTGGATCTTTCCTGTTCCCCAGAGACAAAAGGGCTGGTGAAAGTTCAGCAAGGGTAGGGAGAGACAGCCTTAGATATTCAGAGGTACTCTGGTAATTTAAAAGATCAAATATATTTAATCTTAATATTTATTTTTAATATTATTGTGTGTGCGTGCGGTTGGTGGTTTGCAGGGCAAACACTAGTCATGTGGCTCTTTGGGTCGGCAGTAACTGCAGGAAGCAGAGAGGCTGTGATGTACTGGCTTGTTCCGAAACAGTCATATGTTAGAATTCAGGACTTACCGAGTTACAAAGATTCATATTTTCTCAGTGGTGCTGACAAGGCTCTGAACTCTTTGCAGCCGTAGTGATCGGTGGTTAGAGTTCTCCAGTTTGCATCTGTGAAGGCCTCTTTCTTCCAGCTGCTCCAGGACCAATCTCCCAAACGTCCCAGACTACTGTGCAGAGATTGTTGAAGTTATGGGAGCTTGAAACGCGGCTGTCATGTATGGATCTGTGGAATAGAGGGCACACCCCTCAGTGCCTATAGAGGGGCGTTGCAACATTCTCCTGGGAAGAATCTGGTGTCACTCCAGTGGGAATCCTTGACCAAGGTGTGAGAAGTCTACTCGTGTCTTCCCACATGCATCTCACTGTAGTGCCCATCTGTATGTAGGCTAGGGTTGCCAGGCCCCCAGTCTGGGCGGGGTTTTCCCCACTTTTGCAAGCTCTTTTCCATCGCCGGCCAGCTGGCCATCAGGGGGAAGCCCTGCAGACAAATACCCCTAAACATGACATGATGATGTCACCCAGAAGTGAGGTCATCACGACACCGACATTGAGGGGGGGACGCTCTGGTTTTTGGGCAAAACTCTATGGTAAAATTGGGCTCTGAATAGACCCTGGAGCCCCCCACCGGCAGACAGGTAGGACCTGGCAACCCTAATGTAGGCATGAAATTTGCCCTTCACATTTCACCTGAAGGCTGATGCAGTATTAGAAGAAGAAGAAGAAGAGATTGGATTTATACCCCGCCCTTCACTACCCAAAGGTGTCTCAGAGCGGCTTACAAACTCCTTTCCCTTCCGCTCCCCACAACAGACACCCTGTGAGGTAGGCGGGGCTCAGAGAGCTCTTGACAGAAACTGCTCTTTTTCAAGTGAAGAGATTGGATTTATACCCCGCCCTTCACTACCCAAAGGTGTCTCAGAGCGGCTTACAAACTCCTTTCCCTTCCCCTCCTGTAATGTACTGCCGCCTTGCCATGTGTAAGGCATCAGCCTGACATGCCCGGACTTGCCCGGGCTGGCCAGGCACAGTTCATCTGTAGCTTCAGTCAATAGACAAAGGATCCGAAGGATCCTAGCCGGCCCAATCAAAGGGCTA